GGGGGGTAATACCTGTAAAACGCAACACAATCCCAAAGCCTTTAACCCACGCATTAAAAACTTTTTCAGAGCAGTTCGTCGATACAACACAATATAATACAGTACCGTATAGAACAATACAGGATAATACAGTATAATACATAGCAATACATAGCAATACAGTGCAACACAATACAACACAATACAACACAATACAACATAATACCACACAGTACAACACACTACAACACAAAACAACACAATACAACACCTCGCAACGCTATGCAATGCAACTTTATTGGATGACAACGATCAAATAATAGAGCTGTCTCTGACAAACACAGACCTAAACTTTTTGTTTTAAAAAAATAGAAAAAAATCCGTCACGTGATCGTAAAAATGGAAATTTTCCATATTACTTTTAACTTTTGTACTGTGAACACATTAACTGAAGCCCCCAGATTATGTTATTTTCATAACATTTTATACTTTTTTGAGTACTAAGTATTACTCACGTGGAAAGAAAAGCGTTCAGACAAAAGCCTAGATTTTATATCCAATTTTTAAAAAAGAAAAAATAGCATACCTTAAAAAACCTTTTTTTTTTAAATTTCCAGTATACTTTCAAAATCTGAAATATGGTCGAACTGTCTAAAATATCTTCTGAAGTTAGAATCGGTCCCACATCCTTTGCATGCAATGCTGAGAGCCGTAACACGCCATCACAGGTACATTAGATCAGTAGAATTGATAATAAGTATATATATATATATATATAGAACGGTTGAACATGCATATTTTTCACTAGATACAAAACAAGGGAGAAAATGCAATGTTGCTGTGAAATCTTGTTTCAGTTTTAGTATTAGTAAGTGTTTTACGGCACTTGCAACACAATAAGGTCATATAAATGCCGAAGATTAGAGGTGTTACAAGAGAGTAACAAACACAAAAAAGAAGGAGGAGAGATTAGGACGATAGATGTTTGATAGGAAAGAAGGAGCAAACCACACCAGAGCACCCGATTTGACTAATTCTCTCCCTTCATTAGTAAAATCGATTTATGTTGTTTTTTTACATTTGTTTTGTTGTGGGTTTTTTTTTGTGTTTTTAAAATTTTTTTCACTGAACGTTGTATGTGAGGTAACGTATGGAGTTCCCTACCAAAAAGTTAATGCTTTTACCTTTATCTTAGCGTAATTTAAAAAATCAACGGGATTTTTGTTGCTGTCCAGGCTATCTGACGGGCAGCGAGAACTACACCGACCACATGCGTGCCTTCACCCCTAGCGGGAAGTATTATCTGGACCTCCGTGACAACAACGGACCTGTCCATAACGAGAGTGGACACTACTCTGCTCATCTCTTTACAGAGAAGGCGATTGATGTGGTGCAGGCTCATGATCATAGTAAAGTGAGTAGTTTCATGTGAGGAGGGTGGAAAGCAATGTAGGACGGGGTAGTGTTAGCG